GCACAAGGAGGAGCAGTCACGCGGAGGAGAGCGCACTCGGGGAAGGGAGGGCCATGCCCTGGTGCCGGTGGCTCTGCTGCGGGCCGGTGTAAGCTCACGGAGCCCGGGGCCCCCGGGTGGCTGCCTGACAGCCGACAGTGTGATGGTCACCTGAGGGGAAGGGGCTGGGGAAGGTAGAAGAGGATAAGGGGGGACAATGGTGACTTGGGGTGCTGAACACAGCACAATTACAGATGGTGTGTTATAGAATTGTACAGCTGAAGCCTCTATCATTTTATGAACCAATGCAACCCAAAACATTTAATAAAATTTTAAAAAAAGAGCCCTGGCCAGTGTGGCTCAGTGGCTGGAGTACCGGCCCGCACACCAAAGGGTTGCAGGGTCAATTCCCGGCCAAGGGCAGGTACCTGGGTTGAGAGTTCGCTCCCCACCCCGTCGGGGCACATGTGGGAGGCAACTGTTCGCTGTGTCTCTCCCATATCGATGTTTCTCCCTCTCTCTCCCCCTCCCTCCCTCCTTCCCTTCCACTCTCTCTGAAAAATCAATGGAAAAAGATATCCTCATGTGAGGATTAACAAAAAACAAAAAGAAAAGTGAAACCATTAAAAAATGTGCAGTCTTGTACATTCTCATAAATCACACACACGCGCACATGCACACGCACATGCACACATGCACACACACACACACGCACACGCACTCCAGGCTCCTATTTTTACCATATTCCCAGGGACACTCTCTCCCATTCACCTGTCGGCCTTATTCAAGACCTTGACTCAATGGGCAGGAGAGCCATTGTCCCTTCTGTTCCCCGGAGTGTGGCTTTGACGACAGACGCACCTGTCCCCCAGGCAGGCCTTACTCCCTGGCCCCGCCCTCTCTGACCTCACCAGAAATGAGATTGTCCCAACATACAGAAAGGAACGTAAGCACAAAAGACAAACTGCCCATTGTCAGAAAGATCCTAAAGACATCTGCGGACGCAGGAAGGCAGCCCCTTTGCTGTGGGATAGAAGGGGACGCGCTATCACGGCGAGGTTTCTCGCTGATGCCAGACCAGCGGGGCAGTCGTCCATGCTGCCGGGCTAGTGCCCTCCCGTGGTCCAGCTGTGGGGAAAACTGGATGGCCAGGGACACCACCCGCCTTGAGGGGCAGGAGCGGGAGGAGAGCCAGGGAGAGCCTCTGCCCCTTGCTCTCGGCCCCTTCTCCCATGCGGGCCAGGCCCTCCCTCCACACTTAGGTGCCTGGGCAGGACGGAGGCACCCTGGTGAGGGTCAGGCAGCTGACTGGTGCTGGTGGGAGGTGGGCTTGTCTGCCTGTGTGCACCAGACCCTTTCCTTCAGCTGACCTTGCAGTTCTGACTTGTTGTATGTTGGGAAGGTCACCTGCAAGGCTCTGACCTTCCAGTGAGGCTGGGCCCCCCCACCGCCACTCGCTCCCCCCCACCCCATTGGAAGCCCCGCAGACCAGGTAGTTTAAACAAAATCAGTTTATTCTCTCCCCGTCCTGGAGGCTGGACGTCCGAGCTGGAGGTGTGGGCGGGGCTGGTTCCTCCCGAGGCCTCGCTCCTTGGCGTGTAGACGCCGTCCTCTCTTGCGTCCTCACATGGTCGTTCTCCGTGTCCTCATCTCTCTTCTTATAAGGACGCAGTCACACTGGGTCACGGCCACCCTGTGACCTCGTTTTATCTGTACCACTTTTTAATGGCCCCCTCTCCAGATACAGACCCACTGGGAGATACTCGGGGTTAGAAGACCAACAAATGAATTCCGGGGACATACTCGGCTTGCGAGCCCCCAAGTTCAGTTTCCAGCGGAGCTGACCGAGAAGGAGGAGGTCAGGTCCAAGGTGACCATCACGGTGAGCGCCACTGCTCAGCTCTCCTGCCTGGGCTCTCTGAGAACCGTGGAGGGGTCAGTGAGCCAGGTGGCCCCACCCCATCCCAGGCAGAGGATGGCCGGGAAGGTGGGCCACCGCCTGGTGACAGGGAACTTAATGGGAGGGCTCCTTAGTCAGGGGCTTCAGCTGACGAGGGAGCCACAGAGGCAGGAACTGGGGGAGCAGGTGCCCGAGGACTGGGGCGGCAGGACCCCTGAGGTTCCTAAGATCTCCAAGCTCGGAGGAGGAGCCCCAAGTGCCGTCCTGAGACCCCCTCGGAGGGGCCCGGTATCGGGCAGTGAGACCCATGGGAACGGGGGGCTGCCATCCCCCCAGGAGCTGCTGCCCCAGGAGCTCAGGCCTCTGCAGACCTCCACGCAGCCAGCGGGCGCTGGCATCTCTTAAGGGCAGAGGAAACCAGCCAGCAGGACCCACCGCACTCCTGGAATCACCTGTGTGCCAGGTGAGGCGCAGGTGTGGCGATGCAGGCGGGCTCAGCAAGGCCCGCCCCCTCTGGTCCGCAGCCTCTTGAGTCCCTGCGTGCAGTGCCTGCTGGACGGGCCTGGCGGAGCGGGGGGAGCAGAGCTCGGCCTGCAGTCCCAGGGGCTCCTCAAGCAGAGAGCAGCATCCTCCACCAGCAGCGCGCCTGCGTCATTTGGAGAAGCCGGTCGCCAGCCCGTGGACTCCTGGAAGGTGGGAAGTCAGCCTGGGCACTTGGGCGAAGGTGAGCTGGCTTATGGTTAGCGGGACAGACATTGGTCTCAAGTACCTTCCCTCCTGGGCCCTGGTGGGCAAGGCATTTCCCTGACGGCCCTTCAGGAGGGCACTGAGGGCGGAAGTCAGCAGTGAGAGACCCTCCCCAGAGCAGCGCCACCCCTCCCAGCGCCCCACCTGATAAAGGCGCAGCAGCGACTACCCTCTGTGTGTGGCATGTTACTTGCTCACATTATGCCACAGCCTAGAGTGAACGGGCTTCGTGAACATTAGAACTGCACCCGAGATACTGCCAGCGTTTGCCTGTTGTAACACCTCTCACTTAGGCATGAACAACTGCAGTATTGAAAGGGAAGTAAGGGAATTAATTCCACTTCCTCTGCCTCGCAGGCAATGCTTGGCTTATACATGTGTGTTTTCAGTGACATCTGGGAGGTGCTAGGTACATGTGGAATAACAACAACAAACATATTTGCTTAGGAAAAGATGAATAAAACCTCGGTCGGAGATTGAAGTTAATATTAGAATGACATCCTCCTCCACAGAGGCTCCTGGAATCCCGGGAGAGGGCCCAGGGGCATTGGAAACCACAGACTAATGGGGACATTTCCCTGAAGCCTCACATTGCTGAAGTTCGCAGGAAGTAAATCTTCTGTGAACCGTAATACAAGCGCTGACATGACCGAGTGGCATAACAATGTCTGTGGACTTGCCGATAGAATAGACTGGCAAGTTTCCCCTCGATTCTGACGTCATCTCCCCACGGCCCCACACCGGCTCTGTTCTCTGCGGCACTGAATGAAGTTTCGGAAGCACTGCCCTTGTTATAAACACTGGGACATGGTGGTTTTCGGTGGTCTTGCTGGTTCCTGCTGATAGTCGGGGAGCTAACTCAATAGCGAACAGTCTGTATTTAAAAAAACTGGTAGGTGTAGGACTTCGAGTGACAGAAAGAAGCAATATCTAAGGAAGTTTGCAAAGAAATGCTTGATTGAGTCTGCTTCCTGAGATAAGCTGTCTGCATTTAGCGTCATCAGCCACAAACTCACACAGCTGTACCATGTCCTTTCCCGCTCAGGTTCTTCAAATAAAGCTCATCTTTGCAGTAAATGCAAGACTGAGACCACAAATTAACACAGTTTTCCTGTGTGACATCTTAATTTCTATAATTTATTTCTAGGAAAGAATGCATGTGTATAATTATATGTATTATCATGCTTGCAGGTTATTATAATACCTCATTTTTAAATTCATGCATTCAAGGGTTGGGGGCATAGCAGAGCGCAAGCACTTCTGTTGCCCAAGATCTTTTAAAAGTTTTGTACAGCCCGACCGGCGTGGCTCAGTGCTTGAGCAACCACCTATGAACATGGTTTGATTCCTGGTCAGGACATATGCCCAAGTTATGGGCACGATCCCCAGCGGGGGGGCATGCAGGAGGCAGCCGATCAATGATTCTCTCTCATCATTGATGTTTCTATCTCTTCTTCCTTTATCTCTGAAATCAATAAAAAAAAGTTTTGTATAATGACCTGGGCTTTATATGAGCATATGAACAGCTTCATCATTTAACTGTCTCCCCTTAGCAGTTTCACATACGTGTCAATTTGTGAAGGACTAAGGCCACATTTCACCATATTTCTGCCTCTCTCCTCAGTTACCAGTGTTGGCCTCAGTGTAGGACTCACATACCAATAGCAAAATCGCAATTAGCAAATTTACCTGCTATCCCCTTAAAACGCGTGTGTTTGGTGAATGTGCCTCCACAGTCCTTGGTTATAAAACTATACTTAAGAAGTCAACAACTTTATGGCGATTGCTTTCCTCTAAATTCATGATTCCAGGATAAAGGTCTTGGTTCGGCAACACTTGAATACAAGTCATACAAATGAAACCATAGCAAATAAGCAAGTTTGACAGATTCTACGAAATGGGTGGATTTTCTATGTTCATGAATTGTTGCTTCGAAATGGAAGGAAGTGCTTGATTTGACTTTTAGTTCCTGTTCCAAGTTGGTGGATTGTTGCATTTTAGGATAAACTGGCCAATTAGAACTTTTGCCTCGTCCATAGGTGTGTGTGTGTGTGTGTGTGTGTGTTTGTGTTTGCCACAAATAAAACCACAGTCCTGGCTGGTGTGGCTCAGTTGGTTGGAGTGTTGTCAGTGCACAGATTTGTCGCGGATCTGATTCCTGGTCACAGCACATACCTGGGTTTCGGGTTCCATCCCCAGTCGATCTCTGGAAGGCAACTGATCGATGATTCTCCCATCAATGTTTCTCTCTCCTCTCTCTCTAGCCTTTTTCCTTCTCTCTCTAAAATCAATGAAAACATCCTCGGGTGAGGATTGAAAACAAACGAAACCAAGGAGTCAATACTCACTGGTCTTGCAGACACAGTTATGGGCTTTATTATGGTTAGAGGCAGTATTTTGCAGTCAAATATTGGGACACACAATAAATATTAGGGTGCACCATCAGGACCATGGAAAGAAAAATTTGAAGTAGGGACCATTTCATACTTGGAATGATGGTTTCCTACACCGCCCCCCCCACCCAGGTCCCCATTATAACTTCTTACTCATTTTTCAATTTCCTTCTCAACCTGCCCATATTATTTTATTTCCTCCCTTGCATATGCCATGTTTGACTTCTCAGGCACGAGGATGACGGCCATGCTGGATTTGGGAGAGGAAAGGGCACTTAGTGGGCAAGGTAGCTATTAGGTGCAGAATGAGAAAGAGTAGATCTATGAGATAAAGAGGTCACCACATCAGCCCGGCGGCCGCCTTCCTGGCTGGGATGGAGAAGGGGGCTTTGAAGGCCACGGGAGAACTGAGGGGCTGGTCTAGGCTGTGTGCTGCCAGCTGGGGATGGGGACACAGGCCACACTGAAGATTTCACTGAGTTATGGAATTAGCCCTTTTTAATCCCAGGTCCTGGGACTCAGTGCTGCCTACAGAAGAAGCTCCTGACGGCGTTGCTGTAGCTCTTGTTGAAGGCCGTGTAGATCAGGGGGTTGAAGAAGGAGTTGGAGTAGCCGAGCCAAAGGAAGATGCTCTTCCAGAGGGCAGGGGGGTCGCAGGCGCAGAGGGGGCTGACGAGCTCCGTGGTGAAGAAGGGGATCCAGCAGATGGCAAACACCCCGATGAGAGTGCCCACCATCACGGCGGCTCTCTGCTCCTTCTGCTCCCTCCACGTGTCCCCTTCTGCCTGGAAGGTGACGGTGTTGTGGCGGGCGGTGAACAGCATCTGGGGCTCCTGAGCAGGGACCCTCTGGAAAAGGTAAGCAGAAGCTTCGTGAAGGGCCAGCAAGTCCCTGTCCCTCTAAACTTCCAAGGGGAATTGTCTAGATTTAGATGGATTACAATCCAGCGCTCTGTTTGTGTGGGTGCTGTTGTATCTACCACCACCCCACGATTACAGAACAGAAGGCCCGTCAGCCTGCAACTTTAGGTGTCTAACGGGGAAACGAGCAAATTAACTTGTAATAAGTTCAAAAAACAAAATCCAAACAGAAGACATTTCTTTTAAAAAGATTGATTATAGCAGATGGTGAAAGAAGATAATGAAGGACCAATTTGTGACTACAGAGTATATTTTAAAAGACTTGAGGAAAAGACAATTTTATTTAATAGAAAACTTGAAGCAGAGAAAATCTTGAACAATCCTACACCACCTTGCAGCTATTTCCAGATCACTATGAGAAGACTACTCTGCGTCTCTGTAGCACACCTACTTCTCTTAGCCCGTGGGGGGATATCATGATTGTGGGCTCTGCTTCCATACAGGAAGTGCCACTGTTCTGAGACATGACCACATTAGCCGATTGGTACACAAGGATACCTACATTGTGTATAATTCAGACATCACTGGAGAAAAAGCAGTGGTCCTAGAGTCCACAGACAGAAAGACAAATTGGAGCGAAATGCACAAGAGCACAGACTTATTCTCCATGTGTTATCATGAATCTGCCTTTAACAAAACACACACACACACACACACACATATATGAGAGATAGAAACATCAGTGATGAGAAAGAACCATCGATTGGCTGCCTCCTGCATGCCCCTACTGGGGATTAAGCCCACAACCTGGGCATGTGTCCTTGACCAGAATAGATCCTGGGACCCTTCAGTCCACAGGCCGATGCTCTATCTACTGAGCCAAATTGGCTGAGGCGTGAATCTGCCTTTTTGTACAAATATGACCATTTCGGGCCAGGCTCTAGGTGGGTTAACTTGACCATGTGACACCTGACAAAGAACTGCCTGCTGAAGCCTGCGCCGTAACAGCCAGTCGTTGCGGCTTCGCCTCCTTGCCTCAGAGAATGCCAGGCCTCAGTTCACTAAGTCAACACATCCTCAGAACCTATATTAATACTTTAAATTGTATGTTGCCATACAGGCGCTAACAGAAACCACCACCATTTTCTACTAGCCGGTTCATTGTGAACCGTCACACCCTCCTTCTCCTATTGCTCATCCACCAGTTGAAGAGCATGTGACTCACTGTATAATCCTTAGCCCGTGGGGGAAATATCATGATTGTGGCTCTGTAATTGAAGAAGTGTCTCTGCCCCAAACAGAACACTGATACCCTGGTACCAAATCCAACCTTACTATGGTTTGTTGTATTATGTTAAAAACAAAAGGGATAATACCAAATTGGATATATCATTTGTCCAATCTCTCTGATAAAATCCAATTTAAAATATACATATATTTACTAGAGGCCCAGTGCATGAAATTCATGCACTCGGGGGATGGTCCCTCAGCCCGGCCTGCACCCTCTCCCAGTCTGGTAGCCCTCAGGGGATGTCCAACTGCTGGCTTAGGCCTACTCTCTGTGGGGAGTGGGCCTAAGTCATCAGTCAGACATCCTTAGCACTGCTGTGGAGGTGGGAGAGACTCCCACCACCTCCGCTGTGCTCGCCAGCCATGAGCCCAGCTTCTGGCTAAGCGGCACTCCCACGGTGGGAACAGGCCAAAACTGGCTCTCTGACGTCCCCCGGGGGGTCCCAGATTGCAAGAGGGCGCAGGCAAGGTTGAGGGACCCCACCAGTGCATGATCGGGCTGGTGAGAGACTGCAGGAGAGCTCCAGGGCATGTCCAGCCCATCTTGCTCAGTCCCAATTCGCCAGATCCCAGCAGCAAGCTAACCTACCAGTCAGAGCATCTGCCCCCTGGTGGTCGGTGCATGTCATAGCGAGCAGTTGAGCAGCTTTAGCATATCATTAGCATATTATGCTTTGATTGGTTAAACGACCAACTGGTTGACTGGACACTTAGCATATTAGGCTTTTATTATATAGGATTGATTTCAGAGAGAAAGGGAGAGGGAGAGAGAGATAGAAACATCAATGATGAAACTGAATCATTGATCGGCTGCTTCCTGCACACCCCCTCCTGGGGATTGAGCCCACAACCCAGGCATGTGCCCTTGACCTGAACCAAACCCAGAACGCTTCAGTCCCCAGGCTCTATCCACTGAGCCAAACCAGCTAGGGCTAAAATCCAATTTCTTTTAAACAGAAAGCCAGGTTGCTCAATGACTAAACATATAAAATTGCTAAAATAGAAGACAGGCACAAAAACTAATAATTGGTGTGTTTCAGAAAGATTCACTTCTTTACTTGCTATGGAAACTCATCGCCAGGTGTTCTTTAAACAATGACCATGAGTGCATGTCACTTGGTGCTTTGATGCCTCCGAAAGAGCCCTGAGCCGAGGTTCTTTGGGGGATGGCAGCAAAGCAGCATGGGTGCTTGCCGTTACACCAAGCGCCTTGGCAGGAGCAGATGACCCATGAAGAGGAGACTGTCGTGACGGTCCGCGCAGACAGCGCCCTGCCATGACCCTGAGTGGATCGCCTCTCTTGTTCCAGTTTCTTTATCCTGTGTTGGAATCAGGCTTTTTTGACTCTGTGATCAGTAGGACCAGGAGCTGGGCCAGTCCAAGAACTAACTCCCCAGTGCCCTCAAAGGCCTCTGTCTCCTTACAAGAGTGCACAGAGATAAAAATTCTTCAGGGGAAGGGTTCCTGGGGAGAGTGGCCACCCATGAGAGTCAGGTTTCGATGTAAAAGAACAAAGGTTGGGAGTAGATTATGTTTATGTAGCTTGAGCTCTGGGCGGAGGTTTAAATAGCTTAACCCAAGTGGTCTTGGCGAAGAGCTTTTCCTTGGGCCAATCAGGGAGGAGTCTACTCCACAGCTAACACTTTATGCTCCCTCCCTCCATTAACACCACAGATGAGGCAAAACAATCTCCTTTGAAGCAAAAGAAAAGGCAACCTGGCTGCCCCGGATGGACAGATGGACGCTGGAATCTTTGGGACTTGCCTTCTGGATCAGGACTGGAGACCCTGGCTCCTACCTTGGGAGATCTTCCAGGCGCTTCTTATAACACCTGTGGTTTGTCTCAGAGTTGTTCAATGTCTTGTTCAGAGCTCAAGTGAACTTCCTGCGGAGAGCATCAGAGCTTCAAGTAATGCACGTTTACTGCCCATTGAGGCGGGCCTGGCCCTGCCTGGCCAGCGGTTCACAATCACGCGACTCGAGCTGCTCCCTGAGCGCCAGGTCTCCACAGACAAAACTTCATCTGCAAGGAGACCCCAAAGCAGCGATGAAGATCAGACAGAGCTTGGGGGTCTCCCTTGAAGCTTTGGCTGAATGAGTACCAAGAGTGGGGGATTGAGAACTAAGTGTCCCTACAAATTGAGGGCCAGACCGGGTGCTCTGTAGCCCAGAGCCTGTCTGAAACTCTGTTGATCAAGAACAATTCATCTCAAGGACAGTTTTGCAAGCCCACCTGTCAGTGGCAGCCCCTCACTTCTGAAAGTCTGGCAACCTCGGAGGCACCCTCTAATCCACTCCCACCGGAGCAACAGCCAAACAACAAAGCTGCACACCAGACAATAGACCCCTCACACCTCAGAGGCCCCCCCGGGGGAGCTCCACTCTTCCCCCAAATGCCATTGGAGGTCAGCAGGCCGCTCTGCTCTGGGAGGCTGCGCCGGACCAGCCTGGCTCTGCTGGGCACGAGTAAGCCATCAATTCAGTGCCTCTGTTCCTGAGCTTCGGGGGTGCTTTCATCACCTGTGATGCAAGGCCTGTCTCTCTCCCATGTCCATCCCCACCTCGGGGTCTGCCAGGGGCTGGGCTTTCGGTGTGTGTGTGTGTGTGTGAATAAAGTTCAGCAGATAAGAAACAGGGACGATGTGTGTGTTCCCCGGCTAACACCGCTAGTTTGTGGTGGAACTGCATGTGGAAACTGGTGTCTGCTACCGTGGATGGTCGTTAACCCTCACAGGAACGTGAGGACAGAGGCAGCCCGTGTCACAGGCAGAGCCGGGTCCCTTAGAGGCCGTGCAGAGCTAAGGGATGCATGTTTCAAAGTGGTCGGGAGGGAAAGAGAGAAAAACAAAACCGCGCCAAAAATAGATGTAAAAGCACAAAGATGTTACAATGCTTTGCTTCTGTTGTCTCCAAGGCAGTGAGCGCCCTCGTCCTGCTCAGTGAGCCCAGAAGGAATTGTAACTGCGGTTCCCTTTTAAAGTGTGTTTTGTACTGAATGTAAATGGTCTTTACCAGCAGGTGGCAGGAGAGAGTCCATGAAGAAGGGCCTGGAAGGCAGCCTCTTTTCCTGAGGGGTAGCTGGGGTGGAAGCCCGCACACGTGAGCCCCAGGTACATGGGCGGCACTCTTGCCTATTGCCTCGTTGTTGGTTTGGAAATCTAATAGATCAGATCCGGCGCTGCGGGCATGTTGGTCTGAGGAAGTCTTTGCTGTGGGCGCTGGGCCTTGGACGAAGCCCTGGCTGAGCCCTGCCTCTGCACACAAGGTGCAGTAGCACCCCCTCCCCAAGACAATAGAAATGTGTCCCGACA